AAGGAACATGGGTAGGTTAGCCAGCTGTACACTGCACTAGAAGGCAACTTTCTGTATCTACTTCAGCACCGGAGCTCAAGCTCTTGGATGACTGACAGATAGGAATATGCTAACTTGCTGCAAAGGAATCCTGTATAGTGTGCACTTATGTGACCTTCTCCCGTTGTTGGGCTGAGTTCCTGGAAACACCAATTTTGGTAGAACAGTTGTTCAAAACAGCTGTTTTAAGTTTTAAAAAAGGACTTTTTAAGCAAATGTTAATGCTAACACTCCACTTGAAAATCCAGATTCTAGCTCAGACATTATCCCAACTTCTGCTACAGTAGTCAAAAGACCACTATTATAATTAAACAATTCAGTTACTATTAAGGCAAATGTTAGATGAACAATACCTGTACTCTTAAACCATGTTCATAAAGAACTAACAAACTCTCAAAATATTTATTTTTGCATTTATGTAAACAGATTATATGATCCTTGAGGCATAATGTTTATCTTCAATTACAATGGTATCCTTGTGTGGGGACTGCTGGGAGTACTCAAGACATATTCTGGAGGTTCTCAAAGTCAAAACTATGTTTATAATACTAAGAGATTATTTCCCTTTTCCACTGTCGTTCCCTCATGACTGTACAGTGGAATTTTCCATACTTTACATGATGTTAACATGTAATGAAAGGGTCTATTGTTATTTATAAAAAATGAATATATGGATATTAAAAAATCTCTATTATTTAAAAAAATCCATTATATTTAATAATTAAAAACTAGTACTTGACACATTAGTTTTAATTTCTAATATGGTAAATATTAACTTAAGTTTTCAGGGTGTAAGAGTGTAAAGGGGATCAATCCCCAGCACCATAGAAAACCAAAAACAACTCTGGAACTTTAAAGCCACACATGGTGATGTACACCTACAATCCCAGCACTCGAGAGGCTAAGGCAAGAGGATCATGAGTTTGAGACTAGCATGGGATACAAAGTGAGACCCTGTCTCAATAAACAAAAAAACAGTGTAAGCTTCTGCACAACAAAAGAAATGGTCTCTGAACTGAACAGACCACCCACAGAGTGGGAGAAAATATTTCCCAGCTACACATCAGACAAAGGACTGATAACCAGAATATACAGAGAACTAAACTCTCCCAAAATCAATGAACCAATTAAGAAATGGGCAACTGAACTAACAGAAATTCAAATGGCTAAAACCCACATGAAAAAATGCTCACCATCTCTGGACATAAAGGAAATGCAAATTATAACCACACTAAGATTCCACTTCACCCCTGTTAGAATAGCCATCATCAAAAACACCACCACCAAGTGTTGGCGAGGATGTGGGGAAAAAGGAACCCACATATACTGGTTGCAAGCTGGTGAAACCACTCTGGAAAAAAATTTGGGGGATTCTTAAAAATCTAAAAATAGATGTGCCATATGATTCAGTAATCCCACTCCTGGGGATACACCCAAAGAAATGTGACACAGGTTACTTACTCTAAAGGCATCTGCACACCCATGTTTACTGCAGCGCTATTCACAATAGCCAAGTTATGGAAACAACCAAGATGCCCCACTATTGACGAATAGATCAAGAAAATGTGGTATTTCTACACAATGGAATTTTACTCAGCCATGAAGAAGAATGAAATCTTATCATTTGCAAGTAGATGGATGGAACTGAAGAACATCATCTTGAGCGAGGCTAGCCAGGCTCAGAAGACCAAATATTGTATGTTCTCCCTCATATGCAGACTTTAGATCTAGGGCAAATATAGCAATGTTGTTAGACTTGGGTCACATGACAAGGGGAGAGCACTTATGGGTGGTATGGGTATAGGTAGAAAACCCAAAACATGAAAGCGTTTGATGTCCCCACTCCAGAGGAGCTAATACAGAAACCTTAAAGCCACAGAGGTCAACACAAGAAGGTAATCAGGAACCAGTATAAAGGTCAGTTAGAGATCAATCAACTTGGGTTGTAATACATTTGTACATGAAAGCAATGCTAGGAATCTCTCTGTATAGCTATCCTTAACTCAACTAGCAAAAACGGTCTTTCTTACTATGCTTATGTCTTCTCTTCACAAAATTAGAGATAAGGACAGAACAGGTTCTGCCTGGAAGCGAGGGGGGTAGGGAGGAAGACAGTGGGGGCCAGACAGGGGGGAGAAATGACCCAAACAATGTACGCACATGTGAATAAATGAATACTAAAAAAGGGGGGGGGGGAGGCAAAGAAATTTTCCTAGGGAAAAAAATTTAAAAAAACAAACAAACGTTTTTCTATTTACTTGCAATGCTACTGTTCAATAAAATATTGTGCTTTTAAATAGAAAAAAAAAATGAAAAGTGAGTCCCAGTCAAGAAAAAAAAGGGTTCAGGGACCAAAAAACTTGAGAAACACTGCTCTAAATGGAATAGTGCAAGACTCTACCTATATGAAGTTCCCAATAAATGGCTGTCATCTCAAATGATCTTTAGACACTTGTCTAGTTACATTATTTCAGAGTCTTTATACTGGGAATAAGTTAGTAAGTAAACACAGGACACACAGGGTACATGACCATTAATTATATCTCTAAAGACCCAGAATCATTTAATAATGGAATTGTGACTAAAGAACTATTTCATAGAACTCAAGTAATATTTTAAAATGTAGAAAGTATATATCTATTCTAATGTAGAAATATATACTTTAATACACACTAAAAAACTCTCAATTACTTTCTTGCTGTTAGGGGGGATAAGGCAATTTTATTTTAACCATAACCAGAATAAAATGATGTAAAACCGAAATATTACTGTAATTTGTATGTTCTTTTATATGAAATTATAAAACATGATTTATAATGTTTTCAATAACTGTATCTGTTTTTTCCTTTGGCAGTTCTGGGATTTGAACTCAGGGCCTCATGCTTCCTAGTCAGGCATTCTACTACTTTAAGCCATGCCTCCAGTGACACGATTTTAAGAATTATGCTAGAAAAACAATCTAATTACTTTCCTAAAACAAACTGCAGTGTCTGGGATACAATAACTACAACTTATAAAGGCTTGCCAAGAAGGTCTATAGGAACTAAGGAAAGAAGGAAAAGTCTGTCTAAGTTGCTTTCTCCTCTTGGTAATGTGCTTTATGTCCTATCCTAAAACAATTCATCTGTAAACAGTAATCAAGGTAACATGCATCTTTCTGAGAGACTAAATCAGAGTATACAAATTTTAGAAGGCCAAGGTACTGCTAAGTAAACAACCTTTTTTCTTACAGATCAATGCACTGGACAGCATGTTCTAAATATTTAGATTGCTACGAGGAAAGCATGTGAAAATAAAGATAACTTCAGAAACACTAATATAGTATCTTTGTCAATGAACAAACTTCAGCTTAAGTGTTAATGCAAGCAAATTAAGATACTTTTTTGCAAGGTCTATGCAATTAGAATCATTATAAATGAATACTTTAGGTAGAGAGCTTCCTAAAGAAGTAGGTATGCTTTGGAAAAATCTTTGGATGCACTTTTGTTGTTTGACTGAATGTTCAGGCTGAAGCTCAATACAATGGAAAAAGATCTTTGTTGCATTCAAGATATAACTGATGTCTGTATGTAAGCATCAAACTCATCAGAATGTATCTAACTATTATCAAAATCTTTACATTAAATACTTAAAGCAGATGTGTACTATCAAGTATTAGTAGAACTCAGCATTAAGAAGTCCCAAAAATAACACAGCAGCAATTTGTCAGTTGTTTTCAGTGCAGTACAACACCCATGATTCAGTGATTAGCAAAGGGGAAAAATAAAACAATGTCAGCATATTAAGGCAATGCCAATGTGGCAGATTTTTAAACAAATCTGAAGGTCTGTATTGATCAGCAGTTCTGTCCATTTTTCTTTATTATGGCTGTGCATCATGGTCTTAGCACAAATAAATTATTTATACTGTTGGTTAAATTTATTCAGGCTTTAACTATAATCAATCTAAAGTAGTGCTTGACATAATTCCAATTTCTGGACTGGAAATACAAAGCTGCATATAGTAAGCAACTGGTATATGCAAACTGAAGAAATGGCAAGCAGGATGGACAAAAGTATTAGGAACTAAAACCATGACTATGATAACTACAGCACTACAATCCATTGTTTTATGCTATTTGCTTAGCCATCATTGAAAAACTGTCAGTAGAATGCTTTCCAGAATGGGCAGCAGGCACACGTAAATTCCTTCCTGAGGAAGTTATGCATCTGGCACTATTTTGCTTAGAGGTAGAACACAAGATAAGAGAGAAAAAAAGAGAACAAAGGCAAAATGAAAAGAATCTGTAAGATTAAAAATATAGCTATGGATTGCTAGATATTAGAGGAAAGAAGACTGTTAAAGCTATTTGAGACAGTTGGTTCACTCTGAGCAAAGAAGGGGCACAGATACCAGTAACAGACCACTCAACTAGACTGTTCTAATAAAATGAAAGTCTTTGAAAATATCAGGTTCCTACATGCAGAAGCATGTAGCATACAAAGAAGATAAAGAAACAGATGCCTAAGTAGGAAAAGGGTAAGTTTTTCAGATGTTGCCAGGACAGAATTAGAGATACTGTCTGAAACTTCAAGAAAGTAAAAGTACTGCATGTTACTAGACATGAAAATGAAAGAAATCCTTCAGTGAAATACATAATTATTAGCATAAAGTTCACCTGTAATATGGCTAGGGCTGAAGGTGGCCAACAGTCACTTCTAAATACAGCATTTTATTATTTCCTCCATTACCACCAGCCCTTTACATTGGCTTTTTCTCAGAATGTCAGGAAATCGATACTTGTACTCATTATAGAAACGCACTGTAATTATCATGTATTTGTAGAATTAGCTAGTTAAATGGTAAAATAAGCCATCCTACTTCTTAAAGGGAGTTTGGAAATAGAAGAAAAAAGAATTTTTTGATTTTTATCCATTTCCATTTGTTCTCAGGCATCCCTAAAGCCCTCCTATGAGTCTAACCTCTTAAATCCTGCTGTGTGCGTGCACCACCCATAGTCTGTCTTGGCATTCGAAGAGAAGTTCTCAAAGGTGCATGTCTCTGCTCATCCAGGTAAGCAAGATCTTCCAAGTGGGCAGAACTGGTGGCTGACAAGACAGAAAAATTTAATTAGAATAGGTCAGTTTAGAAGATTTCTTCACCTAGTCTATGTCTCCCAAACTTTAGAATCAGAGCTTACCACAGCACAAAATGTATAATATAATTATTTTAAGCATTTGAAAAACCAAATAAATATTTAAAAAACTTAAACTTTCATTTCACTTGTTACTTTACAATAGGACATCACAGCTCTGTTAAGAGGTTCTGGTTTAAGTTTCCTTAAACAGAGAAATATAACATTTCCTATTTAAACAGACATACAGAAATAAGCAAACTATGCAAACATAAAAATCTCACTTAATAAAGTCATAGATAATGACAAAAATTATGAGATTTTGAAGTGAAAAACAAAATAGCCAGTCCAACAGCTTATTTCTGCTTCTGAATGTCTGAATCAGTACAGGCAACAGAAGAAAAATTTCTTTGTTATCAAAAGAAATAGTAAATGGACTTCTAATGAAAACTAACAGTGAAATGAAAAATTCATTTTATATAAATGTTTTACATTATAGGAAATGCTAGACATCTGTTTTATTGTGTGAAAATATAATTACCAAGTTATCATTAACGATTGGTTTAAATAGGTGAGAAGAAAAGAGCCCTAAGTTATAGCATTTTTATGAATGCTGGGCATCAAATGCTTTGCCACCAAACTCCTAGAGAGTACTTTTGCATGAGACAAATTTTATCACGTTTAGATCTATGCTGGTTTGCCCTGAGGACTTTATAATCCATTTTTGCCACCAATGATTTAGACTACCCTACCTAACAGCTGATGATAAATGTGCTCTTCTATAAAAGTTAAGAAGCAAAAGAGGAAGAGGAAACAGCCTAAAATTTTCTTGGCAAGAGGAAATAAGCATTATCACAGTAAATAAAGTCATATCCCTAACCTATAAATAAGTGGTTTATAGTGACTGACCTTAGGTAATGATATTCATTCAGTATTTTTTCATTTATTTCATTATTTATTCACTCAATTAATATTAATAAAATTGGAAGTAAAAATGTCAGCAGTGTCTCATAAAAACACCTTTAGTATGGCTTTTAATCAGGCTGTAGAGAGAAGAAAACTGAGAGCTGGTTGGACAGCTTATGCTTGACCGTGTCCAATGGCAGGAAAACATGATCTCCCGAGACATCACATTTCATCTTTGGAAGCTCTGTTATTAGTTAATATGGTTTTCTCTAGTTCTCTACCTCCTACTAACTTTTTCTCTTGGTGATATAGATACTTCTGTGTATACCAAAAAGAAGAATGGTGAACATCCCTGGCCATAAAGGAAATGTAAATCAAAACCACATTAAGATACTACCTCACCCTTGTGAGAATGGCTATCATCAAGAACACAGACAACAAATGTTGGCGAGGATGTGTAGAAAAAGGAACCCTCATACACTGCTACTGTGAATGTAAATTAGTATCATTTAAAATTTTTATTAATAAGGTGAAAAAGAAACTAGGGGAGTTGAACACTAATTTATTAAACACTCATAATGTGCTAGGTAACATACAACATGCTTTTGTTGAATGATTCTCTTATTTTAAAAGGAAACAAGAAAATCAGAAAATATAAGAATGAAGAAATCCATGGGCTTCGTGCTTGGAGAGATCCCTATGGAAGATCCTTATTTCTTTATCAAAAATTCTCATGGGTCATTTTTAGCCTTTCTAATAATAGGTGAATAAAGTATCATCTCCCTTCCTTTACTGGGTATTCTAAGTACAAATATTCTCTTCATTTTACTAAGTAGTTATACAACTATATGAATCCTTTTGTTAGGATTTCTGAGTTTTCTTAAAGTATGTATAGAGCCCAAGCTATATGCATTCCACAGGTGCTCTTAAAATGATTACAGAGGACCTACAAGTAGGCTTACTGAGATTTTAGATGATTAAGATTGATAACTGACTCTACGACGAAGCCTCCACCAAAAATCTTCCTTTGCAGCACAGAGGCTGCCCAAAGTTCAGAAAATGTAACATATTCTTCCCAAAATATAAATGCCAGATATGGTGACAGGTGCATTTTCTCCATTTGCAAATTCTTTTCTGAGAAAAAGGTTTTTTTTTGTCATTTTGGGTTAATCTTATCTCTCTGTTAAAACACTGACCAGGCTATAGTTTCTCTGCTTGCATGACCTATCTCCTACTCAAATCAAATCAGAACTGTTACCTTTCAGCAGCCATGTATATGTATATGTATATGTATATGTATATGTATATGTATATGTATATGTATATGTATATGTATATGTATATGCATATGCATATATGTTTAGGCATGTCTTGTCTTCCTACTGATTGGTTCTTGAAGACAAAAGGCAATGTCTGAATCAACTTTCTCTCCCTATCCCTTCAGAATAAATCAGTGTCCTGCACATAGTGCTCAGTGTAGAAATAAACTGCAGACTAGTCCTATTTAGATATAGTGATCTTTATGGATCTATCCTCAACCTCGCCATTGCTCTGCTTTCTTAATGCTTAAAAGACATCACTGCAATAACATGCTTGGATTAATGATGGTCATAATAATTTCCTTCAGATACTACCGATCCTGCTTTTACTATTCTTTCTACAGCATATAGCACCACCTATCATATTATATAAATTACTTATTTATTGTTTATTTTATTTTTTCCAACTAGAATGTAAGCTCCATGCTGGTAGGAATCTTTGTTTTGTTAGTTAATGATAGTGAGGTGCTTTAAAGAGTGACTGGCTTATAGCACATGCTCAATAAATACTTCTCTATTGACTGATGATTGTATTATACATACAGATTGAATTTCAACTACATTTAAACAATCACAAATTCATTTTTGTTTTATGGGGCAATTGAATTGTGAAGGAGCTGGCTATAGCAATAAAGCCTTGAACATCATCTTATACAAAGATCAATAACAACTGTATAGGGGCACATATATTCATTCCAAAATCATAATGCCACTCTTACTGTGAAATTGTAGGTTAAATTGATATTATAACATGTAATGAATACTTCCTAGATGAAAATTAAGAGATAGAGATAATTAGGTAAATTCAAATCAGTTGAAACAGAAAAACAATCTATAATAAAAATTTGTATGTAAAAGGAAAAAAGCTTCAAAAAGGAAATTCACAAAAACTGCCACTAAAAAGCTTTGTTTTTAAAGGAGGAAGACTTAAGTGGGAACAAAGGAAGAAATTTTATTTGTTTGTTTTGAGATTTTTATCTGATTGTAATAGTTGAGGACTACTCATTTACAGAGCATTTAACTGACAAGCATTTTCAAAGTTAAGATAATTTCAAAACATCACAAGTGGGTAGAAAAAAATCTATCAACGAATATTTAGTAAAAAAATTTCAGAAACAACTCAATATTGAGTTTGGAAGCCAGTTTTAATTATTCCTTTTATGTCAGTTACCACTAATGCAGATTATAGCAGTACAGTTGTCATTGTGGCTGACCTCAGCAGGGAGCCTGGAATGTATGATACTTGTTTGCTACTGCTTGGGCAAGAAACAGTTCTGCTGTCCTTATATTTTCAATAGATAAAGCCAATATTCTAGTTGCTGAAAAGCTCATTTTTAATTTTTTTGTAAAATCTGCATTATAGGTTCTCATTAGGTTCATTTAAATTCCCCTAGATCCCCATTCTTCATTTACCTGATTCTTAGATCCTTTCCTTAGGAAAATGTGCAGCTCCAAGCATTAACATGAAAATGGTTACAGATTATATTTTTAACAGACTTTTGTTGTTTGTATGTTTCTATGATAGACCCCTCTCATTCTGCCCAAAGCACTGACAACAGCTGCTGCAAACATTTCCTGCTTCCCACATCCTTCCAAATTCATTACCAATCTCGTTTTAAGATATCAGGGATGACCACAGACAGTCTATTCTGATAATTTCTGCCATGCAACCGCAAGTTCACACTGGTTTTCTATTTCTTTCCAACATACAGGTTTAAGAGTAACTATTACATTATGAAAACAACAAAACTCATAGTTTAAGATTTTTTATATTTTAGAATTTTAACTTAACGATGTATGAAATCTAAATGTGTGTCCAGAAAGCTGAACTATTCAAGAAAAAACAACTTTTAATGTTGTAGACCACCAAAACTCATTCTCAAATCACTTAATTTGAGTCAAAAGTTTTTGTTTTCAGTAAATAATACTATCTTCCAGTGTGAACCATTAGTCTTTTAACTGGTATATCTAACTAGTGACTTAATTTTAGTCTTTGTTTCTAAAAGTATATAAATGAATCTCTATATATTTATAATTATATTACAATTAATAAAAAGATACATGATTATTTTAAGAATTTCCTAATATAAACTTCTTTCATATATGTTAGTGACTAAAAAGATCAGGCAGAAAAATTTAAATAATTCTCCATGAACATTTATGTATGTGCTCACTCCAGTGTGAGCACATAAAAGCCAGAAGTCCAGGGAGTAGGAGGGGGTGTGGTTCAGTGATAGAGCATGTCCTTAGTATATATGACATGAGACCCTGGGTTCAATACCTGGTACCAAATAAATAAACAAAGGAAAATAAAGTTATGAATCCTTCCATTTTTTTTTTAAATCAAGGGTCTTGGTCTTACAGAATAATACATGTACTTTTATGCCTTAGCGTTCAAACCAGCAGCAACCTAAAGGGTTTTTAATAACCCCTTGATAATTTTCTGGTCATGCCAGATGTGGTCCTATAATGATGTCAAGATGCTCAGGCATAAGGTGATTCTCTTCCCAAAGTCAGAGAAAAGTCTATAACATAATATGGCAAGGACTATTTAAGCAATTATTCCCCAGGGATTTTTAAATTCTCTGTGTGGTATTTTTAACTTTTTTTTTTTGTGACAGGGTCTCACTATGTAACCTATGTTGTCTTCAAACTCCTGCCTCAGCACCTCAAATACTGGGATCACAGGCAAGCACCACCATTCCCAACTTTTAAAAATGTGTTTGTTTTGAGACAGGGTCTTGCTTTG